AACATGGGTTTTCTAAAGAGAGCATGGCAGGAGCTGTTTGCGCTTAGGCTCCCTCTCTCTGATTGAAACTTTGTTCAGGTCAGTCTATTTGTTTTGTACACAGCAGCAGATGCTTTTGCTACTCTGACTCGTTCAGTCACTTGTGTTGCAAGCTTTTTTCAACAGAGGAGTTAAGAACAAAATGGAAAACCTGAAAAGAAGCATGGAGCTCCTCCTGTTTCAACAATGTTTTTATACGCAATGTTTCACATTTCCTCAGATTCAGGATTAAACAAATTGTATTTTTTAGTCCTGACCATAATAAAAGAAAAAACTATTGCACACCATTTATATGTTGCCTTTAGGAATTTAAATAACTTCATTTCTAAAGAACTTTTAACCTGGCCTGAGCGAATATAACTTAACGAGAGCTTGGAATCCTTACGATTAGGAGATGTTCGACGATAGCCATGATCAATATATTTTTGTTTGTTTCCATTTTGTAACTCCTTTTGGGCCTATGAATTATTTAAACTTTTTTAGTTTTAGGAACTGTGGTCTTCAGTAAACCAATTTAGAAGTGTAAGGTGCTCAAATGTAAGGTCGGCCAAACAGTGTAGTTGCTAGGTTAGGTTCTGAAAACATTCACCCAGGCCCACATCCAAATTCCGCTTATTTATAGTTGCTCCTTCTACAATTACTTGTGAATGCTAATAGAAACGGGAAATTAAAATGTCAATCCAAGTTTTTTGTTTTTTTGGACAACAAACTTAGAATCTCAGCTGCTGTATGAAATAGATGACCAAATATACTAACTTTCCTAGAGAGTTCTGTTTTAAAATTAAACGCCAGGCAAAAATCCATAATCCTAGGATCTCCTCTCCATGCTTTTTTTATATACTTGTGTGTTGTCTAGCCAGGTTTCCGTTATTCCTACTATATCGAAGTCCTCCTTCACATAAGTAGTGTTGTTACAACCAGAATGTAACATTGATTTACCTGGAATTCTATGGCCCTGAGCTATACAAAATGTGAAAGTACTTAGCAGAGTATTCCTGGTTCTGTCCAAATACAGTTCAGCATGAATCCAATCCTGACTGAATATTGGCCCTCAGGGATGCATAGTTTCTTTGCAAATTGGAGTGCCCCCAACTGACAGTTGTGGCAGTTGTTTTGTGGACCCTCTAGAACCGTGTTCTCAACCTGTGGGTCGCAACACTGCTCTAGAGGAGGAGGCTCCTAAACCTCCTCCTAGTGCAGCAGTGTCAGTTTTCCCGCCCACCGCCAGATGTCGCTGCAGCAGCCATGGCCAGGGAGGAGAAGAGAGCAGGCGATGTCATGGTACCGCGCACGGGTGTCCCCACACCACATGCAGGTACCCATTCAGGATGACCAAATTAATGTGACCACACTGGATAGGGTATATGCATACAGTTTATTGGTACACAGCAACAGGAAAGCCACAAACCCCACCTACACCCACAAGCTAATACAAGCAGAGAGAAAACTCAAATAGAGTGAAAACACACCTGCAGCAAGAGGGAACAGGGCTGGGAACTGCAAAGCAGGTATCGGGGCTCATGATCCAGGAACTGGCTACCAGGAAGGTTCAAGACTGCTAACAGGTTGCAGGGTCACAGGGCTCAGGGCTCAGAACACGGGACTCAGTCAGAGGAAGGCGACAAGGTTCTGGGTACACAGGAACTGATCAGATACTGAGCCCACATCCTGACTGCAGGGAGGGCCTAAATACCCTCCCAGGAAGCAACAGGTGATGGAATGATCCCTGGCAGCTGGGAGACACCCGCAGGAGAGCACTGAAGCCACAGGTTCCAGCACCACCCACTGGTGGGCTGATACCTGACAGTTCCTGGGTGCCTGGAGACACCTGCAGGTGAGCGCAGGAACTGCAGGTACCGGCTCCAGCGCCCCCTGGAGGCGTTCTGGATCCTGACAGGCGAGTGTTTATTTTATACATTTAGTCCTGCTTCGGGCAGCCGCCTACATCACTTGCAATTAGCCTGCTAGTCTGTCCCCTTCTGCCGGCCGCCTCATTTCCAGCCGACTACCTCCCTCCCAGTTGTGGTTTTCTGGGTCCTCGGCTCTTCTGGGGGACCCGGGACCATGGCAAATTACTTCAGGATGGAGAGCGGAGACTTCCGTTCTCCGGTCCACACTGTGTTAACAGTGAGACAAGAACGCTGTACACACAGCCTTCCTGTCTCAGCTGTCACAGGAGAACCAGTGCAGTGCTGTGATAGAACTCCTATATTGGAGAGTTTTAATAAAAAGAACCAGTCACCTCTAAATGTTATAACACATGGGCTTGTTAGCTCCTGTGTGATAGCAATAAGGTTAAATGGGAAATTTTTTTTAAAAAAAACAAACAATTTAATATATTTAAAATTTGCTAAAAAAAGAAAAAATAAGATTAATAAAGTAAATAAAAAATAAAGTGATAAAAAGTAAACAATCGTAAAATGAAAAGTATAAAAAAATAAGTAAAAGATGATATACACATTTAAAAAAGTAAAACAAAATAATTAAATAGTTATAATAATTATAATACAAAATTAATAATTTTACCGTTGGGGGGTCACCACAAATGTTACCAAGGGGTCAACCTTAGAAAGGTTGATAACAACTGCTCTGGAGGGTGTCAATTCCATCCCATCAAGAGGGCTGAGGGAGGGGATGTTGTAGAGCTAGTGTTTGAATTTACTTCATCGGACTCTCCTTTTTAATATAATTTTTCTAATTATGTGAATATTTTAGGATGCCCCAATTTTACAGGCTGTCAACCAGCATTTTATTGCACAGAATGAAATCTCAATTTGATAAAGACTAAACATGGTATACATCTTGTGTAGCGCTTCCTCAGATGGGACAATGTGTCCCCTCGGCTTCCTGTATATTATAGCCTAGTTATATGGGATATCAAATTATTCATGATTTACTTTAGATAGATGCTTGGTATCTGAATTTATGAATGAATTATGTTAAAATTTTTGGATCTGCAGTTAACTCGGACAGGAATATGGATTCACTTAATTGCTTACTAAGCTATTTATGACCAGCATGAAGGCTTCATAAAGCTATTTTACAACTTGCTTAAAAGAAGTCTCTGGCTCTAACAATTTTAAGACCTCCAATTCTACTCAGGATATGTTGGAGTCTTAAGTGCTCTGCTAGAAGTCTTATGAGATAGTAGTAATTTTTATGGCAGGACTTCATGAGACATTGTTTGAGGCTCGATAGACTTCTACTGTACCATTTATGCATTCCTGTGTCCACAGCTGAGCTGTTGTAATATAATTTATAAAGCTTGCATGTGTCTGAAGCTGAACTGTTTAGGCTTATAATTTGGACGTGGAATTATGAATTTTGCTAAAATAAGGATGCCACTATTCAATACAATTGTCCCCATTATTGTCATACTGATTACACCTTACATATGACTTCTAGAGATAACTGCAGTTACCCCGTTACAAATCAATCCTTCCACTCCCACTATAGACTGCTAGGGTACAGGAGCTACACAATAAGTACCAAAATCCTTCTTTTTTTTTTTGCACATGTACACAGACTGCAGGTTGGGCACCAGGGGTTTGGAGCTACCATGAAACCAAGATGATCAGTAAGAACATGAGTGCTGAACTAGAATGTTGGACTGAATTACTTAGTATGTATTCATGTCTCCTCTATGATGTCCATGTAATTCACTAAGTGCTTACAAACACACTAAATAGGGATGTTTGCATTTGAAGTAGATTTTCTGCACAAAGTAGGGTATAGTCCAATTACTGGAATAAACCTAAAACCTTCTATGTACACTGAGTGGCCAAATTATTATGAGCACCCCATCAATACTTCGTTGGGCCACGAGATGACTCCATGAGATGACTTTGTTGGGCCGCCTTGTGACTCCACGAGATGTTGAAAGGTGATGCGAGGAATCTGACACTGCACTGTTGACCTTCTGTTGTCTTGTACCAGTCTTGCCACTCTCCGTTCTGCCCTAACATTGACTAGTCGCTGACGGCCACAATTCGCACGTTCAGACCCAGATTTTCGGCTGACTGTCCAGTCTTTAAACACTTTAACAACAGCTGCTCTTGAACATTCAACGAATTCTGCTGTTTTTCTGATACTCGCTCCATGACTCCGAGCGCCAACAATCATCCCACGTTCAAAGGCTGTTAAATCGTGTTGTTTACCCATATCTTCAGAAAAAAAATCACTTCTACTATCGTGTTAAACAACCTGCTTCCCTATTGATAATGGTCTGGCCCTCTAGCAACTTCAGTGCGAAATTATAGCTAATTTGCCTACAAACGTCAAGTGGTCATAATAATCTGGCCAGTGTGTGTGTGTGCGCGCATATATATGTGTGTGTGTGTGTGTGTGTGTGTGTATATATATATATATAATCTTAGTATGCAAAAACCTGTGAACTTGTTGTTATTTTGAGATTTTACTGTTTTATATTGTGTAGCAAATAGAAATTTTGCACTAGCATATTGCTACATATACATGCTATTCAAATGTTTACACAAGTTAGGCTTTCTTTTCAGGTTGAATGTAATGGAGCTAAGGAGTATAGGAAACGTGTGTGTGTGTGTGTGTGTGTGTGTAATAAAAAAATTTGATAGAGAGAGATCTATCTATCTATAATCTGCATTTTCCTGATATTGCGTTCAACCTTAAAAGGAAATATACTAATAAAATGTGTTTTTTGCCTCAATTCACTCAGAATAAATGTATATGCAATTTCACAAGACAAATGGCTCTGTGAATTTTGTATAAATACACTCCTAAATGTATTGAATTACTTAATAAACAGATGTATGGTAGTGGTAAATGTAAGCATATTATATTGGTAAATGTACCTTTCTGTTGACCTAGTTTTTTTTTCTTTTTTAATGTTGCATGAACACAAAAGTTTTCATTTGAGCTGTTTACTGTATACAGTAAATGTGTATGGGTGTGGTGATATCATGCTGCTCTGTTTGTGCTTTCAGGCGTTCTTGGACAATACTGGCTTCCTGGTGAGCGTTTTTTGTGCCTTGGGAGTGTTCGCTATACTCTTCATACTGGTGTGCATAGAAACTGTGCTGCGGAAGGGTATAAAGTTATTAGCAATCGTCATCTGGGGATGCTTGGTAGCCATGGGCTATGCGTTCATTTTCACAAGCAGTGTTGTTACTCCATGGGACCAGGTAAGGGAGAGCTGTGGATAAGGCATGTAGGAAGTGAAGTCATGTATAGAGTTTACACCTCATCCTTTTAATTCCTGACACAAATGAATACAGCATTGCCTTCTTAGGAAAAAGTATTTTCTGTTGTTGCTTCATTCATCAGAAACCTGAAAAATAACAATAGTAGAGGGGCAGTCTTTTCAAATGCTACCATTATGCCTCATTGATCAACTTTGGGGGGCGGGTTCAGGCATTACACAAACCCAAGAAGTGTAGAGTTGGGAAGATGTTGGCTGCATCCGTAGCTCTCTCTAAAATAGTGAATTTGATCACTTTTCCAAATCATTATTAAAATATAGAAGTTTATAGTGGTGACCGAGTCTCTTTTAAAGTGCACCTTTACACTAAAAAAATCACATTCTACCAATGCATCCCTCTATGTTTGATGATTAATAATAACATAGACATGTCAGGTGTAAAATGCTGTGATTTTGAAATACTTGCAGAACATTCACTTTCTGCTTTGAAAGGGCAAAATGACTTGAGATTGCCAATGCAATGCACACTGGGATTGTCAGCAGAGCATTGCTGGGAAATCTCATCTGTAATCTCATGAGATCTCAGGGAAAGGCATTTTCCTCCCCTGAAATGATGTGCATGGTCACATGTCCTAGTCACATGTGCCAGAAATTCAGGAAGTGAAAGGAGATCTAGTAATCTGCCCTTATTAAACATGGCCACTGTGAGAAGACTGGGGAAGAAAAGAGAAATAAAGTATGCAAAGAATACAAAGCTGACTATTATCTAGAAGTATGTGTTTGTAGGTTGTCATCACTAAACATTTCTAAAGGTGTGTTTGTTGTTCTTTTAAAGATACGGATAAAGGCCCACTTTAAGTGTTATGGTTAAGGTTTAGGGGGTTAAGTTTTAAGGATAAAATGATGTAAGGAAGGTTAAAACCTTTACTGTTTGGGCCATAGATATTCTTTAAGGGTTCGTTTTTATAGGCTAGGATAAGGGTTGGTGAGGATTTAGGATTATAGAAGTGATGAGGGTTAGTTGGCAGTTAGGGGACGGATAAAGAGGAACATTACCCACCTATTGGATGTCTCCCAGAACCGTTACTTTTAAAGCATGCCAACTGTCAAGGTTTCCAGTGTGCTTATTTCAACTCCCAACCAATTTCAAGCCTTCAAATGGCTGGTGTTAATAGTTATTAAAAGGATGAGATGGCATGAATATTATATTGCTTCTCTTGCCTAACGTTCTGTGATCTGCTTGCTATATGCAGGTTTATTGGACGTTATTTGTGACGATCAGCCTGTACACCATGCTCCCATTATGTATGAAAGGGGCGATCGTTGCTGGGCTTACCTGCTCAGTGTCGCATATCATAGTGCTCAGTGTCTACGTGTCATCATCAAGTCAGCAGAATGCAGGAGATTTTGCCGTACAGGTAGGAAACTCTTCGTATAAACTGCATGCTGCTTCCAATCAGTACTGTAGCTTGTATTATTTTATGGCTCATTTATCTAAATGTCCTGGCTACAGGAAGGCATACTTTGTTTTTCTCTTTACGGATATACTTTCCAAGCAGACTAACTGTAGTGGTGTGCACATACAGATAATTAACCATTAAACTGTGAACACCGCTTAATAGGCCTTAGAATAGCAATGAGGAGGTATTGGTATGGGAACACTTTCCATACTCGCTGTGCTCTTTTTAAACACTTCATGAGCCCTTAAGGCAGCAATTTGGAAAGAGTAAAAAGAATATTAAAGCATTTCCCCTGGCCCATAAGAGCATAGTATAAAAATGTAATGCTACAACATGTCATAAAGCCATATACTATATAATATGTTTTCATTTTGTCCATTTTCAAATTATATTAATATGTCCAAAATCTCTCCTTTAGAAAATTGCTAGGTGCAGCTAATGCTTTCTGTTGTAACTTTAAACAGATAGTTGCATTATGTAACATTGATTGTACTTCAGAGCTGGCATTATATCATATGTGCACCCATAGCTTTGTTTCCTAATTCTAACAAGCACTCATGACCAGTATTGTGTAGCTGGCTTTCCTGTCCAAGGCTCTGGGACCTAACTATTTAAAATGTGTCTAAAGCCCTTTTTATGTTGTTTTTGGATAGGAAAGGTTAAGTTTAGTGGACCCTGCCAGATCTTGTTTGCTGTCTGTCTCCATGGAGGAAAAATCACCTTTATTTGTTCTGGTGGCCCATTGTCACAGGAAAAGGGAACAAATACATAATTTGAAACGTCACTTGAACAGGAGCAGAGGGGAACATTTCTAATGGGGACGCTTGTTTTGGTTACAACTCTCTAAGAGAATTTGCCCTTACATTTGGAGGGATTTTTTCTCACTTCCGGTGGGTTCTTCAGAGCAGGAAGTGAAGGGAAATCTCTTTAAGACACAGATGGGGGGGGAAAAAAAAAACCTGACAGGTTTACCCATCACTATATTCACCAACAATTTACTTTTAGGTGAATCACTTTCATTTAAACACATGCACATGGAAGAAACACCTGACTTATAAATATATACTGCATAAAGAAGTTCTGCTTTAGTCTTTATATTGAACATGTAATAATGACATTTTAAAATCCTTTGACTGTTTTTTTTTCTTGCAGATGATCGCTGACGCAGTCATCTTGCTGTGTGGAAATGTGGTGGGAGGTTATCACAAGCGTGTCACGGAGAGTGCATTAAAGGACACTTATCGCGAAGCCATCAACTTCATTCATTCCAGACGTAAGCTGGACTCTCAGGAGAGGCAGCAGGTGTGGTGGCTCTTACAGAAACACCTTTGTGTTGTGGAACGTCCGTCACTACTAACCAGTGGTGCTGGATTCCACACAGAAGAATGTGTTACTTTTAAGTTTATATTTTGGGGGCTTCCCTAATAATAATATTTTAAAAAGTGGAAAGCACTTTCAGTGGAGAAGTAACATCCAGCTAGAACTATAGACAGTCAACATGTTCCACGTTTTCTGAAGCTCCCTGGCAGAGCTTCAAAGGGTAGCCTACTATAAAAGCTTGTCTCCCTTCATAAAAGCTTGTCTCCCTTCTTCCTTTATTTTTTTTTTATTTAACTCCAAGTGGAAAACCCCTTTACAGGCTCCTCTCATGAGGATTCCATCCAACACAACCACCTCAGTACGTCTGTGCTTTTTGGGCTTGTTAACACCAGGCATGTGCTTTGTAGCTGTTGGTATTTTTGGGGCTCTTTTCTAATACTTTCAGTTGCAGCAAAAATTACAAAAACTTTTGGATAGTGAAATTTGCTTGTGTTAGCCTGCATAGACCTGTTCAGGTGGATTGAATGGAGTCCTACAAAATGACAACGAATATAAAACGCATTGTAGTGCATGTTACCACAACACTTGTTGCCATATGCATGGCAGTGTGAACAAACCCTTACACCCCTGAGTACATTGTTTTAGATGTGTTTAGCATTGATATAGTGGATAATAGTCCATACTCATTAACATTGCTGCACCTGTTTTGAAATGTTTTGCTTGGGTCCCTACAGGTGAGCAAAGTAGCATACACTTGTAAAAAAAAAAGTGAGCACAATGTAAAGATACTCTGGAGCAGGGCTCAAAATTTCAGGTCCTGAGCTACTAGCCAGGCCTTCAAAGTTACTCGCCACCAGTTGCCCTGCATAACACAAACAAACACACACAGGGCACAACGCGCACACAGCACAACACACATACAGCCACAGTACAATGCACAGTGCATTACACATACAGCCACAGCACAACGCACAGAGCATTACACATACACATTTCATCTGAAATTAATTTTTAGTCTTCGCACATGTCTAATAATATGCGTGTGGGGGGGGGGAGTAGTTTTAACATTTTTATTTTTTTTTATTATAATTTTTTATTTTATGATTTTATTTTTTACTGTTGGGGGGGCTTCGGGGAAATATTAGGGGTCCAAACAGACCCCTGACATTTCCCTTTTAAAATAGAAAAGAAATTGAGGACACCAAATCCTCAATTTCTTTTTCAGCAGCCTCAGCACTCAATGAATGGGGAGCACTCAGTACAGAGGCTTCCCATTCATTCAGACACTGATAGTAAATATTTTGCTATCAGCTGTTTCTGAATGGGGAGGAGCCTCTGTACTGAGTGTTTCTCTCCATTGAGAAATTCATGAATGAACAGGCTGTGATGTGAATCACAGCCTGTTGATTCATAACTGGGGACACATACTATGTGTCCCCAGTTATTTACAAACAGTGGAGTGATCAGACGATGGCTCCAGTGTTTGTCCTTCTCACACGGAGGACCAGTAAATATCAATGATATTTACCGATCCCCCGCTCTGCCACGCACAGAGCCGCTGTCCTCCTCAAACTGACAAGATGAAAGCGGCTCCGATCTCCAACCCGCTCGGCCATCCTGACAGCTGCGGGCGCAGCTTCTCTCCCCTACACCGCTCGGCCATCCTGACAGCTGCGGGAGCACCTTCTCTCCCCCTCACCGCTCCGCCATCCTGACAGCAGGCAGCGATCCCTCCTGCGCCCCCCTGCTTAGACGGACGGACGAGGGAACGCTGTCATCAGGTTGGTGAACAGGAGAGAAGCCGCCCCTCAGAGGCTTCATTTCCACTCACCCCCACACAATTTTCACTCGCAAATTGCGAGGGGGCGAATGGACATTTTGAGCCCTGCTCTGGAGTATTATTTGAAAGAATAAATAGAAAGCCTTCGTCTTTGCTAAAATAAATGTACTTTAATCTTTAGACTTTGCTGCAGTTCCTAGTGGTCCATTGGAATACAGCACAAGCCTCTCAATAATTTGGATGTATGCGCGGATCTGACATATTGCTATTCATATGTCAATATTAAATCGCATGAATGTACTGTAGCCTTGCACAGATTCTGTTGTGCGTGCCTCTGTGGATTCGTTTCAAAACAAATGAAGTCATGGAAATGGGTGGTACTGGTTAATTATTAATTACTTTTTATGCAGTTCAAAAATATCAGACTTTTTATTACACTGTTATTTTCGTACTGAGTACTTTATAAAGATGTGCTTTAAATGCTTGGTTTGATTGCCAATACATAACTGCAATAACGAATCTTGTGTCTCCTTCTGTTTATTTTTTGTTTTGGCTTCTTTTTTATCATTTTAAATGTCATCACAGCAAACAAGATACATTTTCGTTCTTTAGAGGGTTCAGAAAATGTTGTTATGGTGAAAAGGTGCTCCCTTTACCTATATGCCAAACTTGCTCTTGGTAATGGTGTGCTGGAAAGCCCATATTGTCATCAAGGATGACCAGCCCTATGCCTTTCTCCCTGACATCATTGGAATCTGGACTTTCAGCCCCCTTACCAGTACTGGAGGCATGGACAATGATGTCTGGCAGGTAGGGGTCCATCTCAGAGCTGGTTGTCACACAGACAGATGCTTAACATCCAGCCCAACATCATAGTCAATACTGGGGTAATGCTTTAAAACTAATTAGGGCTGCAGCTAACGATTATTTTCAAAATTATTAGTTAGCCGATTATTAAGTTCGATAATCGGATGACATTTTTTTTTTTAAATGGCTTCAGTGATGGACTTCTAGTTTGCATTGAGATTGTAGTCCATCACGGGAGCAAGCTTGGAGCGGTGGAAGTAAAAAAAAAAAAAAAAAGTGAGGTGTGCAATATAGTGAAATGGAAAGTGTTAAATTATACAGCAATCGATGCAGAATGGAAGCGGCTATAGAAGACTACAAATCCCAGCAATACATTATACAGCGCAATGCAGAATACCACCAGCTATAGAGGAATACAACACATCCCAGCAATAGTAAATTATAGCTAGCGGTATTCTGCATTGCGCTCTATAATGTACTATTGCTGGGATGTGTTGTATTCCTCTATAGCTGGTGGTATTCTGCATTGCGCTGTATAGAGGAATACAACACATTCCAGCAATAGTACATTATACAGCACAATGCAGAATACCACCAGATATAGAGGAATACAATACATCCCAGCAATAGTACATTATGCAGCACAATGCAGAATACCACCAGCTATAGAGGAATACAACACATCCCAGCAATAGTAAATTATAGCTAGCGGTATTCTGCATTGCGCTCTATAATGTACTATTGCTGGGATGTGTTGTATTCCTCTATAGCTGGTGGTATTCTGCATTGCGCTGTATAATTTATTATTGCTGGGATTTGTAGTCCTCTATACAGCGCAATGCAGTATACCACCAGCTATATAGGAATACAACAAAACCCAGCAATATATTATGCATAGTGTATAATGTATTGCTGGGATTTGTATTCCTCTATAGCTGATGGTACATTGCTCTGTTTAATAGCATAATGTACCATCAGCTATAGAGGAATACAAATCCCACTATCCTAGCAATACATTAAACAGCACCATTAGGGGGAAGGTGCAGGCTTACCTGAGCAGTCTTCCAGCAACTTGCTTCTGAGATCGGGCCTGTCTGTCGGCGGCAGTCGTCCCCCCACACCTGCTTCTTCTCCCCGCGTCCCTGTGCCGATCATGGATGCGGGGGGGGGGAGGGGGGCAGGTCTGGCAGCGGCAAGGGTGAGAAGATGTGGCGCGTGGCGTGTGTGGAGCTGCGAATAGGGGCAATTAAACAAAAGCCGATTAATCGATGATAGACAACATTGACAACATTTTCCATCATCGATTTATAATCGACTTGGTCGATTAGTTGTTGCAGCCCTAAAACTAATATGGCTTAATCGGGGCAAGTATTACTAAGAGCTCATTTGCCCCATGACATCTGTTATAATCTGCATCATGAAACATGCCAATCCCAAGCACGGTAAACTGCATCTGTGTTATGTTGTGTTGTGCATATACCCCGTGTGTTCCATTGTCCTGCACTGAAAAAAGTTTTGCAGTACCTATTTTCTTTGCATTGAGGAACTTTGACATTCATTTTAAATAGGCTATTTAATGCAATGTGCCTCCAGAGCATGAAAACGCTTGCATTGCAGTACACCCAGAATTTACCATCCTCAAAATATCTGGACCCGCTGCTATATGTTGGCTGAAAGCACAGCTTATGCAATGCAGAGCACTTAAAGTCTATGCAGAATGTTCTGCATTGGCCATTTCTTTTTTGAGAAGCAGACGCATGTAAAAAAAAATAAAAATCAAACTTCTCTGTTTGTTTGTTTGATGGCTGAGAACAACAACAACAACAAAAATCTTTTTCTTGATTTAGAAATGATAATGGGGTTTTATGACAGGCCTATTTAGGTCCATAAAGTAAGTATGTTGACGCTGATATTCAAGAGACACTGTAATGAAAGATTAATGGAGGCTGCCTTTACTGAACTCTTTTGAGAATGCTACTTCCGTGGCTGTCATTCTGATACGTTGACTTTAATGCTGACTAAGAACAAGAATAAGTAGCTCTGACACTCATTTAGAGCATGCTTGTCCCACTACTGTGACTGAAACCGACTAACATTAGTGCATATCCAGGCATCTAGCATTTTTAGAAAAAGGCGTGCAATGGCAGTCCCCATACTTCTATTATGGCAGTCACTTTAAAGAAGATCTAAATCCATCAATTAAAATCTCATATAGGTGTTCACAATTGTTTTTTATTTTTAATTTCAAAGCTTGATTTCAGTGGTAAATGTATAGCTTTTATTAAAAGAAATCCTGGTATATCTGCTGTAAAGGTATTTGTTGAGACCAGTTTCTGCTTTGGGTTGACAGCTGTCTCCCAGTTGTGCTCTTGCCTTGTCAATTGACTATAATTGGCCGTGCCAACACACATAGTACAGACATGGTCCCTGTTGTCAATATCAGGAACCCTTTCCACGACAGTGATGTGCAGCCAGTTCTGGAGTGATTGCATGTACACAGAAAGTAGCTGAAAAGGGCTTGAGGGGTTTCAGCAGCACTAAGATGCAAAAAAAGATGGAAAACAGTATATTGTTAAAAAAAAAAGAATGATTACACGGTGCTTTAGTAAAGTAAATGTCATCCAATTTATACTTTAAATACAGGGCTGCTCACAAAGTAGTGAGTTGAAAGATAGTATTTATCAAGGTCTATATACCTGGCAGCAACCGTTTTTTTTTTTTCTTTTGACACCTTTCCTAATTTTCTTTGTAAACACAGGAACAGTTGTTACTTTCCATCTTACCACAGTATATAGCCACCGAGATGAAAGAAGAGATCATAGAGAGGCTGAAAGAAAAGAGGCCGCAGCAGGAGAGTACCAACAACTTTCATAATCTGTATATCAAACGGCACAAAGATGTAAGGTGAGAAGGACAAGTTTACAACCCAAGATCTTTCTCTTTAAATGAGCAAAGCCTAATAAACGCTTTTATGTATACAAAAAAATGTCAATTCAATCTATAAATGTGGAAAAGTCTCATATCTGTGTTGTACTTCTATTTGCAGCAGCCAAATTTCTGTCTGCTATTCCATAAAATAAATCTAACTGAGCCAGGGGGGTCTACCCTTAAAGTCTCAGTAGGATTACTGGACAGGAAAGTCGCACTCTGGGAAAGTGTATCACCCATGTCGAGCAATATTGTTGAGCCATATTGAAGGAGTCCCACTCTTCCTGTCATGTTTATCGTATACCTTCTCTCCTTTTATTCTAGGCATAACATACACTTAGGGGTCTATTCACGAAGCAGCCGAAGGATCTAGCCGTAGCTTCGGCCAATCCGTCGGCTATCTTCGGCCCCAGGACCCCTTCGGTTCAGTAGAACCGAAGGGCTGCTGTACGGGTTATTCACTATAGCCCGTACAGCTCCCGAAGTCGGCCGGGCGGCTCAGTCGAGCCGAAGGCATATGCTTCGGCTCGACCGAGCCAAGGAGAAAGCCGAAGCTGGCCGGCCGACAGCCTGCTTCTGACAGCTGGATATTCTGACAGTCGTGATCTTACGTCTGGCTCCGGCCACTTGCAGAGAGATCAGCGTCCCTGGTTACCAGCTAACCAGGGACACTGATCTCCAGACAGCTAACTCTCCCTGGCGCTTCAGGATTCTCCCGCTCCCGGCCGCCCAGGAGAGAAACGCTGCCCAGGAGAGAAACGCTGCTTTTTCTTTTCTTTTTTTTTTTATTCTGACACAGAGCCGTGTCAGAATAAAAAAAATTTTTTTACCATAGGAATGCATTGCTAGATTCCTATTGGCTATTTCAATTTGCAATAGCCAGTAGCAAACTAGCTATTGCACCCGCCCTCTGCTGCAGTTCTCAATCAGGTCCCCACTAGTGATTGACAGCAGCAGAGGGCGGGTATATAGCTAGTTTGCTATTGGCTATTGCAAATTGAAATGGCCAATAGGAATCTAGCAATGCATTCCTATAGCCAAATCTTGTTTGTTTTTTTTTTCTTTTTTTCTTTTGTTTTTTTGACGGCAGCAGAACTGCCGGCCAATAGAAAACTGTTGGGCGGAGCTAGCTGTCATTGCTAGTTCCGCACAATCGTTTTTCTATTTTTATTTTTCTACTTTTTTATCTATTTTTCTGTTCTGCTCGGTCCCACAGAGAGACCGAGCAGAACACTCATTGCTGTTCGGCATCTATAAGAATAGACCGAACAGCAGCGAGTAGCCTGTCGAAGGTTCTGCTTAGCCGATCCAGATGTTGGTTCGGCTAAGACGAACTCCTTCTGCACTTCGGGTCGGCCAAACATGACCCGAAGCCACCCGATGTACGGCTGATTTTCAGCCGATATACGGCTGAAATCAGACGTATAAACTGAAGTGAATAGCCGAACAGAGTTCGGGTCACTTCACTTCAGGTCGGTCTTTCCCTCGGCTGCCTACGGCAGCTTAGTGAATAGACCCCTAACTGGCCACTTTGTTGGGTACACCTGTTCGACTACTCATTAATGCAAATATCTAATCGGCCAATCACATGGCAGCAATGCATTTAGACATGTAGACATGGTCAAGGCGATCTGCTGAAGTTCAAACTAAATATCAGAATGGGGAAGAAGAGGGACTTTGAAAGTGGCATGATTGTTGGTGCTGCTGATCTGCTGCGATTTTCATGCATAACCATTTCTAGGGTTTGCAGAATATGGTCTGAAAAAGGGAAAATATCCAGTGAGTAGCAGTTCTCGAGGCGAAAATGCCTTTTTGATGCCAGAGGTCAGAGAAGAATGGTCAGACTGGTTCAGACAACTGTAATTCAACCAGCCACTCCTTACAACCAAGGTATGCAGAATACCATCTCTAAACGCACAACACGTCGAACCTTGAAGCCGGAGGGCTACAGCAGCAGAAGACAACAACACCGGGTGCCACTTCTATCAGCTAAAAACAGCTGATCAAAAATGTACAATAGAAGACTGCAAAAACGTTGCCTGGTCTGATGAGTCTCGATTTTTTCTGCTGCTACATTAAAATGATCGGGTCAGAATTTGGCGTAAACAGCATGAAAGCATGGAGCCATCCTGCCTTGTATAAACAGTTTTTTTAGGTTAGTGGTAATGGTGTAATTTTGTGGGCGATATTTTCTTGGCACGCTTTTAGCCTCTTAGTACCCATTGGTCATCTTTTAAATGCCACAGCCTATCCTGAGTATTGTTGATGACCATGTCAATCCCAAAAGGGGGTCCAACCTAGTACTAAAAAGGTGTACCTAATAAAGTGGCCATTGAGTGTATGACACAACCTTGTGTTTTAAATGTTACAGTATTCTGTATGCAGGCACATATGCTCTTACACATAAATCAGATTAGATGTTTAGATATAAGCATCCAGTAATTTAGGTCATGTATGTGATCAACATTCACTTGGAAATCAGGTGAGTAGGATATAAAGACCACTGTGACCATTTCAGTTGACATTTCTTATCCCCTATGTAATCCAGATGTTTGACACGGGTACCATATATCTTTTGGACAGACATTTCTATCAGATCTGTGAAAGATCAGGGGAGCTGACTGTGGCACAAGGTCAATTAGTCTGAATGTTGCTTTATATCTCTTGGGGACAGAGGTGAGCTGTCTAGGCCTGCACAACAATCCCAACCATTATGGAGGAGTCCCACTCTTCCTGTCATATTTGTTTATCCTATACCTTCTGTGCATAGTATATGACACAATTTTGTGTTGAATGTTACAGTATTCTGTATGCAGACATCGTTGGCTTCACACTTCTCTCAAGCGAGTGCTCCCCAAAGGAGTTGGTCCTCATGTTAAATGAGCTTTTTGGAAAGTTTGACCAGATAGCAAAGGTGAGTAAGTAGAACAAAGTGAAAATGTTGTAGTTGGAGGTTAAGTAAGGAAAGGTCATGAGGTCTAATATCTATATTCTTCTCTATAGGAAAACAACTGCATGCGCATCAAGATCCTGGGTGATTGCTATTATTGTGTGTCAGGGCTGCCAGAATGCTTACCCGACCATGCCAAAAACTGTGTGCAGATGGGTTTAGACATGTGCCAGGCAATCCGGTGAGAGAATTCTAGATACCATTCTAGGCTTCTGTATGTGTCTGTTCCTTTTTAGTCTGCTTTGTTTTTACATACTCTTGAGTAAATAGTTGAAATGTATATATGCATAGGACGACATCTTTCTCAAGAAATATATGTATAGGCAGCAATCTTTCTCAAGAAACATTTGATCAGTTCCAGCAAGGGGTCAGTAAAGTAACAATGATGACTCTTACCCAACACTGTGGAGATAGATTTCCAAAGGTTTGGTATAGACAGTGTTACCCACACGTTTATCTGTTTGTATCAATATTCCATTCAGATCCTCCCCTATGAACATTTTTCTGTCAGTACCCTGTAATATTTTTTCATTTAATCGGATTGGAAAATTTGTTTTTTTTTAGGTCTGCCTTTAAAGTTAGCCTGTACTTTGCCCATTTAGAGCAAGGTAACAGATATACTTGATAGCCCGCCTTTCCCACAAATTAACTATACCCTGCTTACTCTACTTCACTGCCCTCTTTACTGTAATGCATGTGACATAGCTCCTACATCCAGATATGAGGGAGCATATTACTTTCCCTTTCTCTCTCTCAATGCTGGGTGCCCAAATGGCCAGTTGCGAGGTCAGGCCACTGTCATATTTATAGAGATAAGGTGAAGGGGAGGTGTTCTGTAGTCCTATCCTGAGGTGACAATGCTATCTATCCATGAATACAGCACAGTGACTGAGTGTTGTCCAGGTATGACCGGAAGTGTGTTACTGACGGGATCACCAGGTAAAAATTAAAGGAAAAAAGCCTGAAAAAGAAAACGAATGCAGCCACCACAATGAAGGATTGGTAAGCTTCAAAGTGAGAAATTTCATGGCACACAGCTGTATTAATAAATATGTGTTTAAAGGTTCAGTCCACTTAAAGCTGATATTGTGGGGGGGGTCTTTTGGTGCTGTTGCAAGAGAGGGAAACTTCTGAAGTTTGGTGGGTGAGATCTCTGTGCTTGAGTTTCTAGGCCTGCTTTTTGCTCTTATAGGGGATCTCGCTGTTCCTCTTGGGATTTTCATTTGTGGAGTGGAGAATGCAACAAGAGGAGCAGGAGTCCTACAAGGCAGTTTGGGACACCCAAAAACAACAATCGGGGCAAGTACAGAGATCCTCCTGCTGCAGTTCTGGCTGAACTCACAAAAACATGTAAGAAGTCAGCAGGTCACTCGGCCCACCCCACTGCCTGTAATGGAAATCGGGCTTTGTGTTGCATTGACCTTCTGAACACTGAAAACCAATGGCCTCTTCAGGAAATAGCTATACATGAGGGGGATGTTTAAGCAATTGAGTAAAAAGTGCATGAGTGTTACCAAAAGTTAACAATCAAATTAGTGTGGTCACCCATATCAAAGCTTATTTCTTACTCACACCATTAAAACAGATACCTGAATGTATCCAAACATGGCTGTTTTGTAAAACCTTTGTTTAGCTGTTGATTGTTCTTGGATCCAGTGCACTGAATTGAATCATTATCCCATCATCTCTACAGGAAGCTGCGTAAGGCTACAGGTGTGGATATTAACATGCGCGTTGGAGTACATTCAGGAAACGTATTGTGTGGAGTCATTGGGCTCCAGAAATGGCAATATGATGTCTGGTCACATGATGTAACATTGGCCAATCATATGGAAGCAGGTGGAGTTCCAGGGTAAGATTGGGAAGTCCGTGCAAGGCTCTCATTTCATGTCATACCATTTAATAACAGAACCCTTGTTTACCATCAAACAGTGTGTTAAAATGTTGAAATCACGTCCTTTTATAATGCACTTTATGTTGTTAGGCTCTCTATTAGAGGATTTACTTTCAGTTCTGTATAATTGTTTGTTTATGCTTACCCTTGCATTTAATTATGTTACGCTATCTTTCCTTCTTCTGTAGGAGAGTTCATATTACAGAAGCCACTCTGTCCCATCTTGGAGGTGATTATGAGGTAGAGGATGTAACTCATCGGCAGAGAGACCCCTACCTTAAAGAAAATAACATAAAAACATATCTCGTTATTGACCCCAGGGTAAGTCTCCTTATATACAGGTGAAACTCGAATAATTAGAATAGAGTGCAAAGTTCATTTATTTCACTAATGCAACTTAAAAGGTGAAACTAATATATGAGATAGACTCATTACGTGCAAAGCAAGATAGTTCAAGCCGTGATTTGTCATAATTGTGATGATTATGGCTTACAGCTCATGAAAACCCCAAGAACCCCAAATCCACAACCTCAAAAAAGTAGATTATTACATGCAATCAATAAAACAAGGATTGTACATAGAACAATATCGGACCTCTGAAAAGTACAAGCATGCATATGTACTCAGTACTTGGTTTGGGCCCCTTTTGCAGCACTTACTGCAATTACTTTTGCTCGATATTCTAATTATTCGAGTTTCACCTGTATGTCAGCAGAACATGTACCTCCATTGGAGGATTTTCCCTCTGTTCAGTGTTTCATTCTGCTTTGGTAACAACTGTAATATTTTGAATTTCGCATCACTTTCTGTTCCAGTGATAGTGGTCTGCAGGTAAGGAAGTAAGAACTTCCCCAGTGGGGACACGGGCAACAATAAAACCAGACTTCTATCCAAAACTAAGTTTTTATTATGGTTCACTTTATTTTATGTTTTTTTATAAACATGTGAGCTAAATAATGCTTGTTACTGTGTATGTAGATTGATTGGATGCTTTTCATCCCACGTCACATTTTATTAGACATTGCGATGAAACATTTCCGTGGTTGATTTTAAATGTCTGGGATCTCTAGGGTTCCACAGTCTCTTAGAGTAGCTATCAATAGACCGTTCTCCCAAGAGAGCGGTCAGGTAGTTGTTTTCTACATTTAGCCCTGCTTTGGGCAAGCAGGGCTAAATGTACAGTGGGGAAACCGCCGCTTGTTTTGTACAAGTGATCTCTGCGATGTTGCAGAGAACACTTGTATGCATCCTTGCATACAGGGGGGCCCATTGAAGAACCTGGCATTGGGGCAGCAGAGAGAGTAAATCTGGCTCTGGCTAGGACATGGTCAGTACTCCCATGATCTTTCTCCTCAGCTAGAGCATATGGAAGTAGCATACACGCATTGTAGGCACTGAAAATGGAACTGTCCTTGAGCAGAGATGCAGCAGAGAACCTTTGAAAACCGAACCTTGAAGAGCTAATCCTTTGAAGACCCAATCATCAAAGGTTATGCTCCTGTTAAGTCCCATTTCCTGCCTCCAGACAGTTTTTATAATCACCCTTTAAGACCAGAAAGGACAACCCAGCTTTTCAATAAAGTAGAACTGTGGCTAAACTGCTCAATAGACAGTTTAATCAATATACAGTGGGTGGAATTTATCCTAGCAATTGCGAGTGTTTGAACTTGCACGGAATATATTTGATGCACTTTGCGCCAGATTTATGTTGCTAGTGTAATGTTGTTTATAAATCAGGTTAAATCGAGTCCAGAAAAGAAGGCTCGTAACTCCAGGCAAAAAGCTTAAAGGAGAACTATGAGGTGAGTGCTTTTCACTCACCTCATAGTTCTAGCCGACCTGTGACAATGAGACTGTCACAGGTCGGCTCAGTAGATCGGGAGGTGAGCAAACACATACTGGCGTTCGCTCACCTCTCCATCCTGTCACAGCTCTCTGCCGTGACAGGGGAGGGGCTGGATTCCCCCCTCCCGCTCCGATCTGCCAGCGCTGACTGGCGGAACTGACGGGGGGAGGGGCGGATACAGCTGGCTCTGCCTCTAGATAGGCAGAGCCAGCTGTCAGTCACGCAGCTGGGCAGATCCAGACACAATTGTCGGGATCCGCTTCTACAATGGCGTCTCAGTATACCGTGAGCTACAGCTCGCGGTATACTGAGCCTAGGGTGACAAGAGGACGCTAGTTTGTGTCCTCCCGTTACCCTAAGGAGAACTATGGGGAAAAGCCTTAACCACATAGTTCTCCTTTTAACTGTCGCTTCTTGAAAAAAGTTGCAATTGGTTTGATTCCCCCCTGCATGTTTAAATGTTTTAAATTCTAGTCAGTCAGTTTTGTGATTCATGTACTTCTGCCACATAGACCAACTAGGCAGGTGGCCCAGCAATGCAGCTTCCTGGCTCTGCAATACAGCTTCCTATGACATGTTTTCACCTTTTGGCCTGCCCAGGTTATCAGCATTTACCGCTCTGTCTTGTGGGATTTGAACTTGGAGGCTGTTATGTTACACCAGGAAGTATCAGACTGACCATCCTGACTGGATGGTCAGATTACAAATCCTGTTGCAGGTAAAACACCTAACACGCATGTATCCAATTTACATGTTTTTACATGATAGTTGATCATGAACTTTGACCTTCACTACAAAAGTAGCTTGCAAATGCTTTAGCTACTACAAGCAAATGTGAGCATTTCAAAATATCCATGTTGGTCAAGAATAGACTCATAACAGCAAGGTGCTAAATACAGCTGTCTGTCCTTTCAGGCTAGTGATGACAGTGAGGAAGATGACATATTTCCAAACAAGTCTGTTGAGGTCACCAAGACAAGGGCATCTGTTCGAATGACACGCTATCTGGAATCTTGGGGGGCTGCTAAACCATTTGCACACCTTAACCACAGAGACAGCCTCATACCGGAAGCCCTAAGTTCCTCCCGCATTATGGTTAGTATTGGTACAATGCTACACTTTACCATAGAGTGTTTGTCCATTTTGCATTACATGATTAAACTTGTTTTTCTGTTTACCCTGCAGGATCTCCCAATGTCATCTATACATACAACCCGGAATACTGACAAGTAGGAACTGAAACCTGCCCTTTTACTTCCTATATGCCATGTGATGTCAAATACCTCTCCTTAATGGATCTACTTCTGCTGCTGTCTTGTTTTCTCCTGCTTGGCCCATCTGTCCTGTGGCCTTCTGTCTGATGTCAGCACGGCTTCTTGTGGGTAGAGACTATGTATCCTGCTTTTCTCTCTTGTCTGCGTGTTTTGTGTTCTTATTGTTTGGTTCACACTATGGCTCCCATACTCCCAAAATGTTTTTTTTGTGTCCCTTCAGTTATTAAACGGGTTGTTCCTGCAATTAAAGTGATATTAAACCCTCCATGTAAAACCTGGTATACAGCAGTATACTTTTGACCTTCCACTGTTTTGATGTGTGTCTTAAGTTTGCAGTTTCTCTTAATTTTCTTTCATAATATCGCTTCCCTATATTTCCATTTGAAAGGGTGGCTCCATAGCCTTGCAGGATCCCCTGGAGCCACCCTTGATCCAGGACTACAGCCTGGTGTGGTGACACTCCATGCACCTACAGTCAGCTTTGTGACTGCGCTGGGTGCTGGTAATAGAATTTAAGTGTATTTTACATAGCAGCATTGTAGATGGTAAAACACGTATATCATATTTGTGCTTGATTGGATTTTCAAGCTGTTTCCTGAATGCAGTAGGTGGGTCATGTGACCTTCCTGAGACCGCTACTGTGCGTGCTCCCTGACCGGAAGTTCAGGGAAGCGGCGCTAAATAAGAAAAAGGAGCTTTTAGAAGAAAAAAAAATTTGTAAGCAATTCTGGATGTATTTTTTTTTTTTTTTTTAAAGCTTAAGGCACAGATTTACATATTGGATATACATATTTGAATGCATAAAACCAGGAGATTTAACACTACTTTAAGGTGTATCAAATTAAATGATCTCTCTCAGATAGCTTCTTTCCCTGGTAGAGTTGAGGTTTGCACTTCATCTTCCAACTTGTTGCAGAAAGCCTGCACCTAGAGAAAGAAGTAGGCTTCCACTACTGACCACCTCCTTACAATATTAGTTGTTTGGATGCCTGTAGGCTTCCACCACTGACCACCTCCTTACAATGTTAGTTGTTTGGATGCCTGTAGGCTTCCACCACTGACCAGCTCCTTACAATGTTAGTTGTTTGGATGTCTGTAGGCTTCCACTACTGGCCACCTCCTTACAATGTTAGTTGTTTGGATGTCTGTAGGCTTCCACTACTGACCATCTCCTTACAATGTTAGTTGTTTGGCTGCTTGTAGCTTCACTATATTATGAGCCAGTAATCTGAAACAAGCATGCAGGAAGTGAAGTAAGGACTCTTTTAAATGTCTTCTTTTTATGGGTCAGCAACATAAAACTGTGGTCTCTACCTATAAGAGAAAATAAGCACCCGACTAAATACTACAGACAACTGCTAACGATGAATATGGCAGGTGAGGGACCCAGCGGCAGATCGGTACCCGGCTCTGGAACTCGCAGCCTGTGAGGTAGGAGGAGAAAACCACTCTGCTTGTAGGGTGTGGGAGGAGGGAGGGAGGAAATCTCCTTGTCCCTCAGTTGCTCATCATTGATGATGCATCTAAATGGATGCTGTCAGTGTTTTTCTTTTCTTTTTTTGATTGGACTGCTTGGACCAATGGTGCTTTGTAATTGGTCCAAACCAACCACCCAGGTCAAGCCAAAGCTCAAAGCCAGAGGCTTGTTGTACCTCTGACCTCACTGAGTTAGGTTACACACAGCAGTGAGGAAGCCCGCTGCTATGCAACCTAACAGCTGTCAAAAGCCAGATGAAGTGCCGCCTGTGCTTAACAGGCAGTGCTCTGTCCTTTTATAGGTTGCACAACGGGGAGGCTTTCCCTGCTGTGTAACCTGTTGAAAGCTGGTCTAAATGGAGAAAAAGCTGTCGGCTGAGAGTCTTCTCTTTAATAATGGCAGGTGAGGCTCTCCAACTGCCTTCCTAGACCGCACGGCCCTGGTATATGGGTGCTGTGAGCTAGGGTCTCTGGAACAGGAGTAAAGCTGAACAGTGTTCACAAAATGCATATTTATTTTAAAAAAATAAAAAATCCCCACAAAATGTATTTAAAAGAATGACATTCATTTTTATTTTGTTCTAGGGTGGCCCCAAACAGGCAAGTGTGTATACAGGTTGAACAGATTAGAATATTTGAATTAGGAGAGTGCGGTCAAGAACATAGGGTAACACAGATCATCCCCTTAAATTTTCCTTCCCAATTCTATGCATGTTTTAGGACAAACCTTTTTTTTCAGAGTCATGTATATTTCTGACCTGATTGTGCATAGTTCACAATTTGCTAAACTAGAAAGATCGCACTCTGTCTTATTATAAGAGTATGCATTTCAATACCCATTCAGCTATATTTTATTAAATATAGAGGATTGGTAGTTAGTAATTGAATGCCTTTAGTGAAGATTAAACCCTCACCTGCAATGGGGAGAACACTCTATACAATGTGTATTGAACAAAATTAATCACTCCACATTTATGCTTGTATTTCGAGCCTTGATTCCCTTATTAGGAAATTCCCTTTGCTTCTATATAAATTAAAGCCGAGTGCGCTTTTATCATTTACTGGATGTAAGCACATAGTTTGTAAGTTAAAGTGCCCCATCACAGCTGTAGTTATTTCCTAGAAATGTCTTGTGTACAATATCTACAATAAGAACAGTGTGTTGAACCTGCTCCACATCCTGTTGATTAATCATAGCGGGTATGTTTGTATAGAGAATTGATTTATACAGTGTACATTTATAGAGGATCTGCTGGAGGTTTACTTAGGCATGCACTGAGGATTTCACTTGTGGATGTGAGAACTATATATTGGTTTCTCATAATCCGCTGTGGCTGGCTTCCTTTTGAAGAACTGTTTGTATTCACCAAATGATAACTTGTTACATTACCTGAGCAGCTTTAGTTTAGGTATCAACAATTTGTACCATTTATTTATATTTTACTGGTGCATTAAGTATTGTCAATGTTTATTTTATAGACTATTGAAATTAATGAGACATTTTTAGAATTATATTCCAGTGTTAAAAGGGAGTCTTTATAAATGTATAAATTACTATTTGTGATAAAGCATAATATGGCAACTGTCAAACCTTACCAAATGTAAATATCCATACAAAAAGCAAAAGACAAACATCTGTTTACCCACTCACTAGAAGAGTAGCAAAAGATGTAATCAAAAAGAGATCTGGGAACACAGATGCATTACTAATGATGGAAAAAAAAAATCATTTAAATGTATTTCAATCGTAGAAAAAGCCTAAAACTTTACCAAACTGAGGCCCTAGTATAGTGATGTAGCTTTTTGTATAAATGATTCTATTAAAGTTGACGTTTTTATTCAATTGTTAGTAATGCTTCGTGTCCCCAGATCTTTTTTGGATTCTATATATTTTGCTAAATTAGTATTTGCACTGCTGAACTACTGTAATAACAATATTTTTGGAGTTCATATGAGCTGAGATAATATTGGGATAAAGACCTTCTTTAATTTATAATCGAGGCATTGTAAAGTAATATCTACAGGATAGGAAAACTCAAAGTAGATACAGTTTGCTCTAATGGAGTATAATAGGCAAGGTGAAGAAACCATAAAATGAAAGCCAGCAGAAGCAAGCAAATAGCTTTTGTATGATATTGCTGCCTGGAGGCTTACTTGCTTATGCTGCATTTATGTACACGTGTTTACATGTGCTGTATTTTTGCATTAATGTGTAGTCTAACAGAAGTGGGGGATTGAAGCTGAATCTCTTTCCTTGATATAGCACTAATAACATGCTTGGTTTGATGTGATTGACATGCTTACACATACAGCCTGACATACGGTTACTTAATCTCACTGTATTGAGTGTGCATGGCTATATACTCAGAATAGAATTCAGGTAATGAGCTGTTGCAACCTTTTATCTCTCATTACAGTTAAATTTGTTGTTTCAAGTCAATGATGGACATCATGATTTCATTAGAATGTGTTATAGTGCAGAAAGTGATGATTGCTTTTGTGAGGTGAAAAGATAATTGTCCAATTAAATATTGTCCCTACATGATATTTATTTATACTGTCAAACCATAGAAGCCTCTTAGTCCCAACATATTGCAATTTATTGACAAGGAAGGGTAGTAGAAGCACTTAGAAAATCATATGGAATCTGTTGTTTATTCATGTTTTCCTGTGTTCTTGATCGCGCCTTATGCGTCACTAATTCTACTGCTCTCTACTAATTGCTGCAGCAGATATCACTTTTATGCTGAACATAATTCAACATTCTTTTATGTGTAGTTACAAAGTCATTCATATCCATACTTCATTTAAATCTTATTTCTATCTGATTCATTACCAGTGCCCACTACTCTGCTAATGACCTCCAAACGTCAGCCTACATTATAACTAGCTCCGGTCTTGTCTCTAGGATATCTCCTGTGCTGCTTCTGATATGGAATTCAGTTCATATGGCTATTCTTTAAAGAACATGGCTTGCCCTTTAAAGCACATTTATTTAAAGAACCTATCACGTTTCTTATAATTAGGCTTTGAAGTGGATACAGGGAAAGCAGCCAACCCAAACTGCATTTCAGTTGTTCCCTCTCAGGCATTGTTATAATGTACCAAATATGCCCACACTCCCTTTTGTCAGTAATCTGGTGATTCTGGAATAGGAAGATGTCAACATATAGAAATATTAGAGCTGCCATTGTTGACTTGACTTGCAACTTTCAGGACTGGCATTCTTATCCTTTTTTTTTTTTCACTACTTGGTTTTAAGGACCTGGAACAAGCATGTTCATATTGACTGTCAGGACCCCTAATATGCAAATACTTGCTCTTGATCCGATACTTACTAATGAAAAATCATGGCTGCGAATATCAACCCTAGAAGCAGTCGTCTTCTAAAATAAGTTGGCAAAGCAGCTCCTAGTTTGCTTTTCTTATGTGTTCCACAAAACTGAATGGACTTTTTTGGTTTCAGCACAGTTAGTGTTTCTGGACAACACTGATTGCTCAGTGATTGGTTTCACTTGATTAATAATATTGCCTATTAAACATATTTTAAGCACCACTCCACCTGCAGTTAACAGAACTCTCTTGGCAGGCAAGCAATTGAAATGAATGGAACAGCAGGGCTCAAATGTTGCATGTCAGGCAATGAAAGGCTCCCCATTTTAGTGTCCATGTGAATGTTGAATGTAAGGTTTATGGGAGCCATGGTGTTTTTTGTTACATCATGTTGATCCCTGTGTGTCTATTTTGTTATCTTCCAATATTGCAAAGTGCTGCTGACTAAGTATACTTTTATTAGTCTTTATATAACATAGGCAAAATCTGAATATTAATATAATGAAGTTGCTATTACCATGTAATTTGAAGGTCAATTACACCCGAAATAACTATTTCACTTTTTTATGTGGTTGCTCTTAAATTGAGCTATGTTGTGGTTTCTTATATCTCTAGAGATCATAATAAAGAACAATTAAACCATTTGGGAACCCATCTGTAATAGTGACATTTTGGGGGGAAAGGGTAGGAGCAGGGGGGGACATGCCATTTGTGCAGACTGTGCAGCTACACAAGGCCCCTCTGGAATGTAAGGGTCGTTTTTACTAGATGGGAGTCAGACAAGTGCGAGCACCTTCTCCCACCTTATCGTAGGATTAAATGCTGCTCACGTCTATCTAGCTTTTAACCAATACAGTGTGACAAAATGTTATTAGGCCAGTTGTTGAATGGTGACTCTATCTCCCACTGGGTCAGAGACATAGACCTTTCCGAGGAAATTTTGCTAAAGCAGTCTGTGCTTGATATAAAAAACTAGTGTGTAATTCCATCTATCTACACCCAACCAAAGCTGTAACACTTTTTCTTGACCTTTTAAATTGGGTTTTGTTCCTCTTTTGACATTTTTCATGCATTTACTTTTTTGTTTTTTAACCAATTCCCTCCTGTTTCTAGATCTCGTTCTCCAAAGGAGACAAATGAGCCATCCAATGAGAACATCTTTAATGTTCTGGAGGAGCTGAACTCCCTAAGGTATAAAGTGTTAAAACATTTATTAGGAATGTTTTAGTGTTTGTATAACAACATATATAACTCTGTTCTGTAACATCCTTATTTTTGTTGCTACTTCTTAGGCAGTGGAAGAAATCTGATGATTTTAACCGGGTCACCCTCTACTTCAATCAGCCAGCAATAGAGAAAGAGGTAAGGTGTGGTTTGTCATTTGTCACATAGAGTATATTAGTTCAAAATTATAAGAGATACGAATATAAAGGAGGCAGGGACCTCAAATGGTGTTTCCTGCATTGCTCAATGGGTATGAAAACCATCCTCTGTTCCACAATTTCAACCTTTTTTCAGTCACGGCAACCTCTAAAAGTATGCAAAGTCTTGAGGCAAACCAGTCAGCGGGTGAAGTTCTGTCCTCTTCTGAATGTTGGGGGAGTTCCTGGATGCAGTCTGCCCTGGATTAGCATTATTGGTTTCCAAGGTGCTGGTGCTGGCTCGCCTGCACCATGGAAATGCATGACACTGCGAAAATTTAAAGGCACCCCTGGTACTGCAGCACCATGGTTGTGAAAGGCTGCTCTATTCAGTAAAACCTCTCAAAACTGTAACCTAGTCTTACAGGCTACCAACCTAAATGTTGCCATAAAAATACATTTGTTAGAATGTCAGATTTCCATTTAACCCCTAGGTGTATTTTTGTAAACCTAAAACTATGTCAAAGAAAAAAACCTTTAGCCAATAAGAACATTACAACCCTCTCAGCATTGGCATACAGCTAAAGGAGAAGAATGTGATATTGTTGTCCCAAGATTCAGCTGTTCTTCTTTTTTTTTTCTAAGAAGCAGAAACAGGATTTAAATACCTATGAGCAATGCAGATGCTTTTTAGTTCCACTAGTTTTTACAGACTATTATTTTCCTCTCTGTTTGCCAGGGAATGCAGCTGAGCCATTGGGTACGGTACACTAGTTTTTAGCACCATTACCCACAGCAGTAAATTTCATATTGGGACTTTTGGCACTACAAACAAAATATAAATTACACTGTAAGCACCCATAACTCAACTTCTAGCCTATTTCTAATACTTATCCTTAGCCCAGGGTGTAAACCCTGTAGTTTTATTAACGTTTACACTAACAAAACATTGCATACTCCCTCTCCCTCTAGTACGTAATCTGTCCCTTAACCAAACTCTTAACCCTTACAACCTAACCTGCTTCTAATAAAAATGTGAGTAACAAACTAACCTCCCAATGTAACACTTATTCCTAGGCCTCCCTGTAGCATTAACTAAACACTTAAAATTAATCCCTCACCCTTGACACTAATACTATCCATAAATTCACCCTTAACCTCTTCCCAAGTCTAGACTAACCCTTACATGCTTGTACTTGTCTTATCAAAACCTATCGGGATCATACTGAGATGTATTTCTGCCATAATAATGATTTGCATGTAGAAAAAAAAATTAGGACTACAAATAAAGTATTAATACAAAATATTTAATAATAATGTTTTGCATCTAGTTTTCTTGGCCAGCAGGCAGAGCCCTCAGCTCCTTTTTACATACAGAGGTGCTACCTCCCGGCAGCCTGTGAGAAAAAAGCCTGCCGTTTACACAGTTAAAAAGCTGAATCTGCAATGTAGACCCATAACTTAGCCAAGTGACACATTCTTTATCAGATACTTCAAGAAAACAAAGCCAGCTTTGAGGCATGCAGCTACTGCCATGCTGGAATCATGTCAAGTTTGTGTGTGGGTGTAACTTTTAAACTTTGAAAAAAGAAAAATGTATCTAAAAATAACCAATCGGTTTCCTTCTAAAATGTGTGTAAAAGCCCTAAAGATGACATCTGTTGTAAAAGGAAAGATACAATATGGCATATGAAATGAGACAGTGTAGATGTAGAATGCACAAGCATGGTATACACAATCAGGAGGTGCAGAATATGGAACATACAGCATGGCAAATGGGAGTGCACTAGCAGAGATATTTTTGTACCGTAACAGAATGATTGCAGCCCATCTAGACCTCCGTCAGCTTAGACCTGTGATTGATTGCAGTGACAGCATAGCCAATCGATCCCCCAGTTGGGGCCCCAAGGATGAATAGAGGTGTGTGCCTCTTTAGTTATATTGTGCCCCATTCAGACCTCCATCAGAGTGGATCCACATGGGTTGCACTTACGCCAAAGCCAATCAATCCCCCAGTTGCAGAAATGAGAAAAAGTGTTTGCTTTTTTAGTAGTATTACATTAGTTCACATAGCAGGATGGAAAAGAATACATGTATACCTTAATCGGGTGGGCCAAAGGACTAACAGGTCCCAATAATGCTGCAGCGTTATTATGACCCCTAAACATTAGGAAAGGTGTAGATCAGGGAGGGTTTTGTTTTCTTTCTTTCCAAAGGTTTTTGAAGCTAGTCCGATCTGGTATGGATATCGGGGATGACCACTGCATATGAGGTGCTATCATTGCCTGGCGGGTGGGAAGGTCAGGGGGGACAGATGTGGGAAGGGGGGGGGGGGAGAAGGCAAGAGGGGGAAAGGATCCCGTCCGACCCTCTAGTAGGGAGAGAAGGAAAGGGGGAAATTACAGTATAGTAGAGAGCGAGTAGGAGTAGTGTTACCGCTTTAAAGCTTTACATGCTTCTGAGTCTTGGAATAAATGCCACAATGTCCAGGTTTTAAGGTATCTGGACATGTCATCTCTGCTAGATTAGATAAGTTCCTCTATGGTTGATACTGTATCTATTCGGGAGAGCACTCCCGGATTGTTGGTGGTGATGGCGATGTATATGTCTTTTAATGCATGAAGTACTGTTCAGATGCATCAAAAAATACACCACATCTTATAAAAATGGTATTTACTAAAAAATCAATTAGGGGAATTTACTAGGACTGCACCAGACAAAATCTGGGGCATCTGTGCATAGCAACCAAACTGAAGAGAGATGCTGATTGGTTACTATGCACAGCTGCTTCAGATTCTGTCTGCTCCAGTTTTAGTAAATTTCCCCCAATGTGTTAATTGCAGAAGTGATAAAAATAGGCTTTTAGTCGATGTGAAAAATCAAGTCACAGTAAATGTTCTCAGGCTGCCCAATCTTCATAAAGGTCTCCTATTTGGTAAAACATTGGTAACAGATGTTAAAAGACCTTCGTTTGACATTTAAAGGAAACTCTATGAATAACTAGTCTCCAATTTGGTTATTTTTCACAGTACCGGCTCTCTGACCTGCCATCGTTCAAATATTACACAGCCTGTTGCTTCTTCATCTTTACCTGCAACTTTGCTGTCCAGATGTTGGTGTCTCCCAAGTAAGTGATGGAATATATCACATGACCACATATATCACATGATATTAGAGGTTTGCACTCTGTTGGTACAGCTACGAACCCTGTAAAACATGACTGATCACTGCCATGTATTAGATTGTCATAAGTACTATAACGATTTATTCAGCAGGAGCGTAATTCTCTGTGTCATGATATATGATGATAGCTGTAATTTCTTTAGTTGCCTGTAAACACTTTGATAAAAATGCAGAATTTTTTTTTCCTTAAGTAGTTTTTTTGGAAACCTACAATATACATCATATTCAGAATAATTAAATATGTTGACCTGGTAAGGCCACAGTCAGTTGTTTCTGACTTGCTTATATAGAATTTATGTACAGTAACTCATGGCAACAAGCCATAGATTAACATGGAGTGGACAACAATTTAATCTGTTTTACCAACAAAGATACAATGGGGGGAATATATCATAGCATAGAGTGTTTGAACTCGCATATGGTCGCGTGGGACATATTTGCACCAGATTTATGTTGCTAGTTTATTGTTCATAAATGAGATTTCATAGACTCCAGGAAAGAAGACTCGTAACTCCAGGCAAAAAGCTTAACTGTCGCTTCTTGAAGTGGTCATGGGGACTAAAGTAGCGATTTTGTTTGTTTTGTTAGACGATGCTCCAGTTTCAGACAGCTGGAGGACAAGTGCAGATAGTTGCGAACTTTTGCAAAACGGGCGCAATCAGGAATATAGTGCAAGCTCTGGTCAACAAGGGCACACATGTTTAAAGGGAGCGGGTAAACAGATTTGCACATTAAAAAAATGATCTAAGAGGCTAAAACACTTGCAATTGCTTTGATAACTTCCCCCCACTGTATATTGAATGTTTTTATATCAAAAGCTAGAACACATTTGATTGTTTTGATGGCACATACATAGTTAACCTTTTTAAATCTCTTTATAGCCAGCAATTTACTTTAATCATCACAAAATATACTCTTACACCTTTACCAATCACTACATCACAGCATGCATTCAAAGAAAACGGTGATTACATGTTGTTGTTTTTTTCACTATCAGCCAGATTTTCTTAGGCTCATAAAAAAAGCAGCTATGCTATGGATAGTATGTGTTCTGAATATATAACTAGGCTTCTAGTAAATATGTTTTACATATCTAACTACCTTTTAGTATTGTCACAGTGCCCTAATACTCTGCATCTTACGTTTTTAGGAACATAGCTCTTGGCATCTCGTATGGCATATCTTATTTCATATTCCTACTCTACTTATTTACTTGCTTTGCTGGACATCTGGTGGTGAGTAGTATATAACTGGTTATTGCTTGTTTTTCACACTCAACGGTTCTGAAGCCTCACAATGGACCTCCTAACTCAAAAGGATAACAGCTCTTTTAGTACAGAAACACTTTAAAAGTTGACCCCCCACCCCCCATTCCTACATTTAGCTGTCCACTTTCCACAGAGATCTTCATTGTGTGGCTGCCAGGAGCTTCAAAAATTCTTCATGAAGTCTCTCAGTCGCATAATAGACGGTTGGGACGCATACTAGACAGCCTCTTTTATAGAATGGAATAGAGACTCTCCTGTGCATGGAAGAACTAGTACCTTCTATGGAAGCTGTGTGACTCCTAATGTCTGCACAGCAAAGATGGAATATGGACAGGTACATGTACCTGCGGGGTGCATCTTTAAGGATAACTGTGCTAAAAGTACAGCCATGCTTTAAACCCTGTAGTTCTTGACTTCCAAGGTCAGAATTACATTGCTCCATTAAACCGTTTGGGCTCCTTTTTAAGTTTTTCCACATCAGAGCTTGTTATAACTTCTATAAAACAGCTCATTAGTTGGTTTAGGATGGCAGTCGCTTTTATCTGGCATCAGTCCAGAAGCCACAAGGTTTTCTTAATGGTAATGGAAAATGCTTTTTCAAGACACTGTACAGATGTTTTTATACTTTACAGACCTATATGTTGTATGGATTTTTTTTAGCATACCTAATCTGTTTGATAATGAACCCATGCATGAGTTAAGATGGTCACAAACCAGCAGATATCTCTCCAAGAACAATAAGTGGGTAGATTTCTACCCATCCTTGATTATGACGAGATCCACTACTGTTTACCTAGCAGTTTGTCAATGGACAGAAGCAGTGTATACATGATCAGATGTGAGTAGAGGAAAGGATCAGCCGTCATTGCTCAGTTTCCCAGCTTGTAGGAGAATGAGTATTTTTGACTTTAAAATTGTTTGCCATTTTCTCCTAGGGTAGTCCTAAATAGCCTGATCATTGCTTAACCTTTGCAGTCGGCCATGAAATTGGGTGGAATGGAAGCATTTATGGTGACGCTATAAAACTTTTTGGACGGCACAAGTCCTTAGATAATTCTGACTCTTCTGACCTACATACTTGTGTCAGTGACTCAAAATATTAAAGCCTTTCAGTCAGCATAACAGCTTGGTGACTAGCATTTCTAGGAGGTCCACAACAGTAGCCTCCTTCTGTATTTCAGGAGAGGTTTCCTTATATGCCAAATTGCATTTATCGGTGCCAGACAGAGGGAAAGATGCATAACACAGATACATTTCTTATCTTTAGTGCAAGCTAAAATCCAGATTCAAGCTGGCCATACACTATTAGATTTTAGGAAAAATCGAATAGATTTCTTCATCCAAGCTAAACAGCGTGCATAGACCAAACTCCCATTATGGCTTGTAGTCTTATTGTTTGCACCCGCCGATGTCAGAATATATGAACATTGACTGCAGCTGATGATTAAAGTAATTGCTCGGCTGAAATGTTCAGCCCGGCACCTTAGACAATAGTCAACTGAGTAATCAACTTCTGTTGTGGCGGCAGGGCCACCCACTGTTAGAATTCCTGTGAATCAGCCAAAATTCTTAGTGTATGGCCAGAATCAGTATTATTTATCTATGTCTGTGCTTATCCCCGTCTTGTTTTCGTTTTACTGTCCTGAATCTTCCTGCTACATCTCAGTACCATCTGCCAAACCATATCCTTTAGACTGAACATTCCTAGCTGAGACAGTTTATGGTACACAGTGCTGACATGTATTCAGTGAGCAAATTCAGTCTGGCAAGCAGTATCTCCGTAACTTTTTTTTTCAAAGCTGAAAATGATTAAAATGTTTTTATTTTGTAGCATTGTTCATATGAGAGCTTATTTCTTCTACATAATAGGTAGACATCTTCTGTGTTCGTTCAATCTCCAATAATAAAATATGAGACATTTACAGCCACATGGAGCTTTATACACTGAGCCAACTCTCTTTAATAAGACCCTTCTGTTTCTCCAACAGAAATGTATCCTCAAAGGACCTCAGATCCTGCACTGGGTTCCTTCTCTCTCCTCTGCAGTCTCCAGCAAGCCCTGGTTCAGAGTGCCCTTTGGAATCCTGATCATTTTCACTGTCATGTTTATGGCAGTATTCAACATGGTAATTATTTTTTTCTTTTTTCATCATTTTTTGCCTTTGACAGATCTCCTAATAAGACATGGTTACAAATCACGCAACTGCTTTGTAAAGTTTGTATCACTCAGTGAGTCAAATGCAGTTTGTAAGAAAACAGTATTTTTTGGCATGTGGCAGAAAACACCCCAGAGCTATAAACTTGCTGGAAACATTTGGATTACAGAAACCTTTTCTAACTAGAGAAATATGTATATAAAACATGTCACACTACTGCATGAGCTAAAGATATTATTTTATTTAAATAGCCACTTTTTTTATTGGTGGCTTTCACTTCAAAGGCATTTTGTAGAATCATTCAGTCATTCCTTAAATCATTCAGATGAAATCAATGGAACTAATCTCTGGTTTGTTTCTTTTTCCTCCAGTTTTTTCTACCTGATGAAGCATGTCCGGGAATGTCATTTAATACGTCTGTAACTCCATTCACTGAATCTCTAACAGTATATAGCCTGCCGGTTAGTTAACTCTCTGGATACAAGATATTATAATATATTTTTCTTACTTTGTCTACAATGTTAGCAGTTTTGCTGAGAAAGATAAATAGTATTATAAGGGAGATGTACAGTATTATCCACCTGGGTACATATTTGAAGGTCTAATAACTTAGTCAGGTGATGTCTCTTAAAAGGTGGATCAGTGTTCACATTGGCTGTTCTACCTCTTTGGCTAAGAAGGTTTTAGAGGTGCACCAAATTGAGATTTTAAAACCGAAAATAAAAAGTCAGGCCGGAACCGAATTTTTGTTCTAACCTTTTTTAGAAAAATTTTTAATTTCTTTCTTTTGATTTTTTTCCTAAATGTTTTACATTGTTAATTTTTTTATATTTTATTTATTTTTATTAAATATTTTTATTTTTTAACTTTACTGTTGGAGGCTCTGGGAAATATCAGGTGGTATTTCCCTTTTTAAAATAGAAACAGAGATTGAGGACACAGAGCCCTCAACCTCCTTTTTCTGCATTACTTCATAAAAATGAACAGAAAGCCTATATACTGAGTGTTCCTGTTCATTCATAACTTATGGACATAGTATGTTTACTATGTCCACAATCATGAATGAATAGTAAGTGATGTAGATCACTTCCTATTCATAACTGGTACATACTGTAGAAACTCATACTATGTCCAGTTATTTACAAGCATTCATCGATCAATGATTGCTGACTTTGTTTGTATACCATTCTCCATCTGGATCGGCTGTCACAGGAGGCTGAGGCGGTGGTGCGGGAGAAAAGCTTGGTCTATTTTGACAGCTGCCCCCTGTGACAGCTGAAAGCTGTCTCTGCCCCCACACCGCTCTCCATCCTGATTTGTCACAGGAGGCTGAGCGGGGCGGTGCAGGAAGGGAACTCGGCCTCCTGTGACAAATAAACCCTAAACAGATCAGAGATATACCACATATATATATTGGAGGTGCACCGAAATTAAAATTTCAAAAACCAAAATAAAAACAAATGTCAGTTTGAAACTTGTTGTTTTAACTTTTTCAAAATGGTCTAAACAGACCCCTGATATTTCCCTTTTAAAATATAAAAAGAGATTGAGGACACGGAGTCCTCAATCTCTTTTTCTGCAGCCCCAAAATGAACAGGAATCCTCTAATACTGAGTGTTCCTGTTCATTCATAACATGAGAACAGAGTATGTTTACTATAACCACAATCATGAATGAGCAGGTGATATAGATCACTTCCCATTCATTCATAATTGAGGATATAGTAAACATGCTCTGTCCTCAAGTCTTTACAAACACTCAGCTATCACTGATCATCACTGACTGCTTGTACTCGCTCTCCATCCTGACAGCTGTCACAGGAGGCTGAGCGAGCGGAGCACAGCCTGCTGTGACAGCGCAGGCTGTCTCCGCCCACACTGCTCTCCTCTAATCTGTGACAGGAGGCTGAGTGGTGCAGGGAGAAGAGACGCTGGCCGCTCACAGCGCTCTCCTCCCGCAGCGCTCGGCCGCCTGTGACAGTTTCTCTCCTCCCCGCTGGGACACAGAGCAGCGCCCAGCGGGGAGGAGAGAAAAGGATGCAACGCTGTATCGGCAAGAAAATGGCACTTTCGGCCGATATATCGGTGCATCCCTAAAATATATATTATATATTTTGACACTTACAATATAATCCAAGTTTTCTCTCTAGCCTTCAGCAACAGGATCTGCAACCAAAGTCAGATGACAGTCCATAGATACAATGGCTGTATTTAGTGTGGTACTTAGGAGAAGAATCGGGAATTTGTCTGGTTGTCAGCACATGTTCAGGTTTTAAATCCCATGAAAATTATAACATAAACACGCAGGCATGTAAACATTCAAATATGCCCTTTGGTCCCAGTGAACACTGTGTGTTTTAGATCCTGTTGTACTGTAAAGTTCTGTGTGAGATTTTGGAGTTACTTGTCTAGAATATATATGTAAATGTTGTGACTGTTGATCTCTGTTTCTTCTTTCTAGTATTACATGTACTGTTGTATTCTGGGGCTTCTGGCTTGTTCTGCCTTCTTGATTATGAACTTTGAAGTCAAGCTGATCCTTCTCAGCATTGCCCTGGTGATCTACAATATCATCTTCTTGCACACTCACAGCTGGTTGTCGGACTGTTACATGGATTGGCTTCTTAAGAACCAGAACATCTCTAGGTATTTACTTATGTCTTAAAGCAAGTGTTTGGTCTTCTCTGGTTTTGACTCTTGATGAATATATAGAGCCAACGTACCCCAAAGAGCTTTATAAAATATATCAAATGCTAATGCACAAAATTATACAGTGAAACAAAACAGATTTATATTCACACATACACTTTGGAGTTGATTTATACACTCTACACCGCTTATTATGTGCACTGCATGCTTATAATAGTGGTCATTAAGGGGTTGATTTATATGACTTCCATCCAGCCATTACCCTGGGAAAATGGCATTCGCATATCATTCTTACCACTAGATGGAACTGAACAGTATAAGTCCTATGCTCCTTCAAGTGGTGGGAATGCCATGCAAATTGCATTGCCCCCAGCGTGTGGCTGGGCGTAATTCATATAAATCAATCCCTTAATGACCAGCACATACTAAGCAGTATAAAGCCTCTTTTAACTTTAAAACAGTCTGAATAATTTGAAACTAAGGAAGGTTCTGAGATCATTCTTAAAAAAACTTTAATGATATCCGATTGGCACAAACCAAAATCCTTAAGGATTTTGGTTTGTGCCAATCGGATATCATTAAAGTTACACCATTTCCAGACTGAACTGTTGACACAAGACAGATGGATCCATAGATTCATGCCATGCATCCCAATGTCTTACCCTACCAATTGCATGTCACAGCAGAAACTGAGACTCATCAGACCAGACAATGTTTTTTCTGCCTTGTTTGTTTGATAATATAAAGTAGCGATGACCCCCGAAAGAGCTGCTGGTAATTTTGGTTCCTGTCTAGCTGTTACCATCCCTGTTTTCGGCTCCAGCAACACCAACACTTTTTACAATTAACAGGCTCAAGTCATAGCATCTTCTTTTTTTTTTTTATAGTATTTATTGCTTAGTGGTAAAAATGCAGGAGAGCGGGTTTAGGGTTGTAGGGTATCCAAAAGTACAAAATAGAGGACAGCATTAAGTTACATAGTTACATAGTATTTGAGGTTGAAAAAAGACATTAGTCCATCAAGTCCAACCTATAGCATCTTGTTCCTAGGAGTACTACTTGTACCCCTGTATATTACGGTCCCTTAAGAAATCGTCCAAAAGTTTCTTGAACAATTCAACATTCTTTGCTGAAATCACCGCCTGTGGCAGTGAGTTCCAGACCTTGACCGCTCTAACTGTGAAGAACCCCCTTCGCCCCTTGTGCTGGAACTTCTTTTCCACCAATTTTAGGTGATGGCCTCTAGTTTTTGTAATGGAGTTAATTTTAAACAGTTTATCGCTAATGTTGCTTTCAACATTGAACATTTTGTACATTGAGATCATATCCCCCCTTAATCTCCTCCAAAGATTAAGATTCTTGAAATTGAAAACAATTAACAGATTAATTAAGATTCTTGAAATTGAGAACAGCCAGGGAAATCTCTGACTCTGTAAGAGCAGTCAAAGTCCTTGTAGAGTACCAACTGGCTTCTGTTCGTCTGTGAATGGTACCTAAGGGATTAATCCTTCTGAAAATGTCCAGACGGCAGCTCATCTGCAACACTCTCCAGCAAGAAGATACTACTCTGAGTCACCACCACATGGCACATGCTGGGGCCCAGGCCCTGCCATCACATAATCACACAGACCTCCTCCCAGGGAGAAGCCCCAGGGGATGGAGAGTTCTGGAAGGTATTCCCAAACATTTATCACCTTCCTCCAGCCATACCTCTGTCAGCCTGCTCAGGGATTGGTCAGAGTCAGATACATATTCATAACCTTGTAGTTTACACTGTATGCTGGGGCCCCATCCCAGCAACAGGGCTATGTAATCAGTCTTAACAGGCTTTGGGAAAACCTGCAAAACTCAGAACAATTGATGAATAGACTGACTACAGTCCAGCAATAAACACTAAATTTTAATATTGACACAACTGCAAATGGCATGGTCGCTAAAATAAATGTACATGTTCTTAGCTGGCAGGAGTCAAAGCAGCATAGTCTGCCATATAACATTCTCTTTTCCATTCTGAGGCTTGTTAATGTCCTTTTTTTTTTTTTTTTTCCCTTGGCATGATTTAACTTTTGGGGTATTTGTTTCAGTATAGGCTTTGTTTTTAAATATTTGTTTCTAATGTTCTGTTATTCTCATTGGGTAAGAATAAAGTAAGCAACTGCTAAGATATTACATTTCTTGTTGGAGTGCTGTAAATGTTTGGAAACACGAGAAATAAAGGAAGGGAGAAATAAAACTAGAATAGGCTGTTCAAGAGGAAAAGACGAGGTGATATGCAGATTTTTATGTGTACATGGGGAGATATCATAGCAGGAAGAGTTTTTTTTTTTTTGGTTTTTTTTTTTAGCAGCTATATACCAAGGTTAAATGTGTATGTAAATGACCGAACTGACTTAAGAACCAAAATGTTACTTCGGATCAGGTTACTGGCCATTGAAAAAAATTTAAGCAGAAAATCTCCGTAAAGTAAGACAACTTTTTAACCCGTTCTACTCTTTTATCAGGCCTGGAGTCCTAAAAGAGCCACAAATTATGGGCAGTGTTGCATTATTTATCTTCTTTTTTACTCTTCTTGCCCTGGCCAGACAGGTGAGTACCAAGTGATGAGTTTTAGAATGTAAATAGTCAGTTATAATTGGCAGAACACACATTTGTCACAGTCATTGTTTATAGTCATGAATCTCATTCTATTCCCTGTACAGTTTGATAGATTGAAAGGAAAAAATAAATGAGTTACAGTAGTACCAGAATTTGCCTTAGATGTTTTTTGTCTTCAAGATGGTTTAATGGGGCCCGCTTTGCATTATCTGCGAGGAGTGACAGATCTGGAACAGGCCCCTTGTCCTTTACGTCTCCATAAATCTATGGGATTTGCATTTTCAAACAGTGGCATTAAGAATGCCCATCTGAGACCTGGCTTAACTAGATTTCGATTGTTGATGAGACATCACTGCCTAGTCCCACGCTGTGGGCTGCTTGAAGCAAACTAGCTGTCATCAATGATGGCGCTGCTAGTGGTCTGACATATTTGTGTTAAAGGAACATATATATTTAGTTGTTTCAGTGTTTACTAGATATACTGTACATGTAAAAGAGGTCGGCTTAATATGAACAATGTTACCAACCCATGTTGTTGTTAGAAAGATGGTAAGCTTGCAAACCTTGCCCAGTTACTAAGGTTTTCTCTGACTCCAGGATTAGACTTCAGGGGAGAGACTGGCTTAGTGGGCACATTGTGGGACTGTCATATCATGTATGCATGTTTGACCATTCTTTCATGTTTTTGGCCAGTTTAACTATAGGAGCTACGCTACCATCCCTAACTAATCTGTAAATCTCTACATTTCACACAATAGCAAAACATGTGTGAAAAACACAAACGGCAAGTATGCAAACATGTGGAAGTCACATCAATAATCCTTTTAAGGTGGACATTGCAGTAATACCACAAAATATACACTTGATTAGCATACACTGCATTGTTTTAAAAAGTTTATTGTTTCTACCATCTGTTTCTCGCTGGGGAGATTTTCCTTTCACTTCCCATCCTACAGCCACAACAGGAGGTTGTCTCCAAAGTGAGGGAAATCCCCTCTCAGATAGTTGTTCCCAGAACTAGTGTCCCCACTATTCCTGTTCTAGTAACAACACAACATTTTGGACTTTCTTTTTCTCTTCGCTCACGGGAACAATGATCACCAGGATAAATGGAAAAGGTGACTTTCTCCAAGACAAAGCAATAAAAACCTGTCAAGGGTTCTAATCCCTCTCCACTCTATGCAAAACAAAACAAACGTTTTGGTTGCAGCTGAAATTGAGTTCTAGTTCGATATAGCATGGCCTAGTGTAATTCTGTGTTATTCCTTCTATAGAATGAATTTTATTGTCGCCTTGACTTTCTGTGGAAAAGGAAGTTTAAGATGGAGCATGAACGTATTGAGACTATGGAGAATCTGAACAGGGTCTTACTAGAAAATGTACTCCCTGCTGATGTAGCCCAGCAGTTCATTGGACAGAACCTAAGGAATGAGGTAACCCATCACAAGAAGCTTTCCAATATTTCAGTTCTTTAAATACTTGTGTATCTTATTGTTTAACTTCATTTACTGTACACAACTTATAGCCACTCTCTGTACATACTTTTCATCTCTGCAGGACCTGTATTACCAGTCCTATGACTGTGTCTGCGTCATATTTGCTTCCATACCTGACTTCAAGGAATTTTACACGGAGTGTGATGAAAACCATGAGGGCCTAGAGTGTCTAAGGCTACTTAATGAGATTATTGCTGACTTTGATGAGGTACGTAATATAAAATCATGTAACTGTAGAACAAATGTTATATCTGTGTTTGTTCTACCTATCTCAGACGATACAAAAGTATTCTGAATTGGCAGATCTAGATATGATTGAATCTCAGAATTGCCTTCCCCTGTATCCACAGACACTTCAGATGGAAGTGAACACTGTTACACAAACAACCCATTTGTGTTTTCTCTGAATTTTACAATTAGTGGATTTATTATGTAACATTTATTGCAGAAACTCATTGTTCTAACAGGGATGACTATGGCAACCGTGCAGCAGTGGAACAGGGACCTGTGCTGCCATTTCCTCTTCTAGTAACTGCTAGATGTGAAAGCCCCACAATGTTTCCCCCGTGCCAGATTCCAACATATTCTCCTTTTCAATGGAGCATTCTTAACAACCTCATTGGCATGTCGGCTTCTTTACTTCTGTTACCACAAGTGTCTTTATAGGGTTCTCAAAGCAGAGACTCAACCCTCACACCTATGCCTCCTTTCTCTGATTGTTAATAATAAAATTCATATACTCATTAGATTTTACATTTACTAAAAAGTGTATCATTGTTTCATGTATTTTTTTTTAGCTACTTTCTAAGCCAAAGTTTAGCAGTGTTGAAAAAATAAAGACCATTGGTAGTGCATACATGGCAGCGACGGGATTAAATGCCACATCTGGACAAGAAAACCTTCAGGTATCCTTCCTACATTAGGCTTCTATGTTTTGTTTCTGTGTATAGATTGCACACAGACAATAGTGTGATACTGTCCTTCTGCTTTTCCTACCACTGCCACCTACACTATTGAGAGACTGTTGATCTTTACCACTGAGATATTTCTGTATGGACATTACATATCTGTGCAATAGCTTTTCTACTCTATATCTGCCAGGATGGTGACAGGAATTTTAACCACATCGGAATCATGGTGGAATTTGCTACTGCAATGATTGGAAAACTTGACGTCATCAACAAGCACTCTTTTAACAACTTCAAACTTCGCGTAGGCAAGTCATGTTTCAACCAACGATTTTTCTGAATGTGCCCTCTACTTTCATTGTAATCAAGGTTTACTTCTTTTTATTTTGTTTTTACTTCTTCATGACAACTGAAATTGTAACACGCGTTGTCTTGTTTGCTTCCTGCTAGGTATTAATCATGGACCTGTAGTAGCTGGGGTAATAGGAGCACAGAAGCCTCAGTATGACATCTGGGGGAACACTGTCAATGTGGCAAGTCGCATGGACAGTACTGGAATACTTGGCAAAATCCAGGTAGTGTTCTGCTTATTTTCACACTGGCTAAATCAATAATGAAGTTTCCTTTTACCAGGTGGCAAGACATGCATCATACATGTGTCATATGTACAATGTGCCAGCATCCCTTCCATGAAGAACATACCAGTTAAGGTTCAAGGGAATAAATACAAGCAGCCTTTTTGATGTGTAATAATCAAATGTGCTTTTATTCATGGTAGCAGAAAAGCTGCCCTGGGATCATGTCTCAACAGCATTTGTCCTAACCTGGCAACAGATTTAGAAAATGATCATGCACACAACTGACCGATATGGGGCTGCCCACCTATATGCGTCCTTTTAGAGCTGCATACATACAGGGGCGTATCTGCCGCAAGGCAAACAAGGTGTTTGCCTGGAGCGGCAGATTCGCTGAGGGCGGCGATGCTGCCTTGCCTAGGGCAGCAGCAAAGGTAAATACACCGCTGCATACATAGTGGCTGAGTACAAAGTGTTTACCAGCATTACTGCCATTAGATGGGGCCAAGTAGCATAGGGCATTCCTAGGCACCTCGACTCCAAATAGTGGCAGTGGCAATGCCCTGTGAACAGCATTCGCCCAGCTATACACTGGGTGAATGCTTTATAAATCGGCCCCTTAAACATATTCAGTTTTCAAATATATGCAGTACTATATACAAAATTCCCATTCGATGTCAAAGTCTGCACTGGTCCATACATATACCAGTTTGTGGAAAAAATAGATCTAAACCATACAATTTATAATCTGATTGCATAAACTCCTTCAGATTTACTTAATGTAATGTAAGGGCCTACCTATGCATCTATTACATTTTAATGTAGTCACAGGGGTCCCTGCACTACATAGCTGTTGGTTGATTGATAACATATTGTAGAAACTGATTGTAAGGTATGTGGTCACCTTTAGACAACCCTTCTCTGCAGATGATCTTGCATGTATTTTTAAATATTTAAAAGGATTATTATATTCAGATCTCATTTGGCGGTAACACATTAGAGTTAAAGGAAGATGCGAAGGTTGTCGAAGATTGACTTTCATAAAGGAATGAATTGCTGAAGAAAGTTGAGAACGCATCATCTGACCTGTTCCTAGTTATTAACAATCTCCTAATGATAATGAAAGCAATGATCTGGTAAAAGTACCCAGTGACCTGAGATGACCATGACCTGATCCAATTTAATTTGACCCAGATCTGGTTTTCATCTTTAAGTCTATGGGGGTAGTGGTAGATATGCTCCTGGGGTAAATTATCCATCAGTCAGAAAATATTTTGTCAGTCATTTACTTCCACTCTTCCCCTATGATAAGGCCAAGACATGAGCTCCCTTTCTAATCTTCCCCTCGATGTGTATTGGTTTAGTAAGATCATACTTTAATGGCTACTGTATTAGATGTTGTTTCAAACAATTTCCTGTCATGGATGCATAACACATACATTGATATAGGTTTCGTTACCTTTTTCTGCATTAATGCAATATTAATAGCACTGCCACTGTGCTAATTTTAGATTGCTATTATTATATACAAAATACCTACATGCTGCATTATTAAACAGGGCTCCTGTTAAGTAACTGTTAGCCCACGGTTTTCCATAGTCTCATTATACAATGTAGCAGCAGACTGGAGATGAGCAGCTGTGCCATCCGTTCTTCTGATATTAATTAGTGGATTTAGTGTGTATGCAATACTTATAGATAGACTATTGGGTATGTGTGTGTGTGCCTGCAAATCTAGGCCTTTCATTAGAAAAAAAAATGTTTTATGGGGTAATTATAGGACTTACTTTATGGAGTTGTAGGCTGCTAGGTCAGTGCCAGACCTTTTAGTCTTTGCTTATTGGATGGCTTCCAACCCACTTTACTCTGCCCATTCAATCAACCCTTCTTGTTATTTGATCTGTACTCTGTGCCTGTGAAATTACAAACTATCCTTAAGATCTACATTCACTGAGCTACTGTGTAGACAAATGTAGTATTGATAAGAGGGGTTCCCGGTATAAAAACAGAACAGGTTGAACCCTCTTTGCCGCACGGAAATTAATTATCTACATTTTTCAGCTTGCAAACATTCTGATGACTGTAACAGCTGCCCCTACTCCTGTTATCATAGACACAATATGCACATATGAATTGCATTCTCATTAACCAGCTCTATTTCTGTACCTCCTTTTCCTTTAGGTCACAGAAGAAACCAGTAAAGTACTTCAGAAGCTGGGATATACTTGTGAACGGCGAGGGGTCATCAAGGTTAAGGGTAAAGGTCAACTCTGTACCTATTTTGTTATCAATGACATGGCCAGATCCAATTCCCAGGGAAACGTTCTAAATTAAGCCATGGAAAGACAACTGCATCATACTTTGTGGATTTCCAAGGGCAAGAACATAATAAAGTCCATGAGATAATGCCTCTGTTTTCAACTTCAGAGGGAGAGGACTCAACAGCTGAAAACAAACTCTTCAGATGAAAACCACTTCTGAAAGATTAGGAGGAGGCTCATGACTAGACAAAGCCTGAGGAAATATGGACAGCCACATATAAGAGCTGTAGACCCTGGGAAAAGACAAATATTCTCTGGAGTGCCCTCCGCAGGACATGAGGACACTCGCCAAGCACTGCCATACAGTACAGTGGACATCGTGTTGTCGGCTTTTTGGAATCGCCCAAACATCTCATTTGAATGTTGTCATGTCTGATTTGCTACACAAAACCGTGACAGTGTGCAACAGAAGATGAAAATGTTATCAGCCTGTGACCTGCCAAAGCAAAGTGCAATTCCTCCCCCTAGTGAGGACTGCTGCACATTGTTGCACAAATAAACCTATTGTATTCATGCTGTGATGCAGTTCATGAAGATGAGAGAGAGAGAGAGCAAGCTGGGACTGGCCCACTGTTATTACCAGAGACGGAGACGGAGAAGGTGTTTCTGTACTCTAGCACTGCTCAGTGCAGTTCAGTACATGTCATGTACATAGTTATATTTATATAAAGCATTGTCACTCCCATTGTATTTATTCATCATAATAAAATCTTGTTAGTAAATATTTTTTCTATGGATGGGAATGTTAGAACGACCAAAAATGAAGAAAGTGTTTTGTTCCTCTTCATTAAACATCTGTATTTTTTATTTCAACTTTTTCATGTAGTAAGTTTTTGGGACCCTAAGTCTGCTCATAGCAGAAAGTACTACATGTACATGTCTCAGGGACTCTTTCAGTAAAGTGGAAGATTCCTTTCAGTCAACTGTATAAAACCACTATTGACACTGCCTCTGCTGGGGTGCACCGCACAGGTGACACTGCCTCTGCTGCGGCGACACCGTACAGGTGACACTGCCTCTGCTGCGGCGACACCGCACAGGTGACACTGCCTCTGCTGCGGCGTCACCGCACAGGTGACACTGCCTCTGCTGGGGCGACACCGCACAGGTGACACTGCCTTTGCTGGGGTGATGCCGCACAGTTGACACAGCCTTTGCTGGGGTGATGCCGCACAGTTGACACAGCCTTTGCTGGGGTGATGCCGCACAGTTGACACAGCCTTTGCTGGGGTGATGCCGCACAGTTGACACAGCCTTTGCTGGGGTGATGCCGCACAGTTGACACAGCCTTTGCTGGGGTGATGCCGCACAGTTGACACAGCCTTTGCTGGGGTGATGCCGCACAGTTGACACAGCCTTTGCTGGGGTGATGCCGCACAGTTGACACAGCCTTTGCTGGGGTGATGCCGCACAGTTGACACAGCCTTTGCTGGGGTGATGCCGCACAGTTGACACAGCCTTTGCTGGGGTGATGCCGCACAGTTGACACAGCCTTTGCTGGGGTGATGCCGCACAGTTGACACAGCCTTTGCTGGGGTGATGCCGCACAGTTGACACAGCCTTTGCTGGGGTGATGCCGCACAGTTGACACAGCCTTTGCTGGGGTGATGCCGCACAGTTGACACAGCCTTTGCTGGGGTGATGCCGCACAGTTGACACAGCCTTTGCTGGGGTGATGCCGCACAGTTGACACAGCCTTTGCTGGGGTGATGCCGCACAGTTGACACAGCCTTTGCTGGGGTGATGCCGCACAGTTGACACAGCCTTTGCTGGGGTGATGCCGCACAGTTGACACAGCCTTTGCTGGGGTGATGCCGCACAGTTGACACAGCCTTTGCTGGGGTGATGCCGCACAGTTGACACAGCCTTTGCTGGGGTGATGCCGCACAGTTGACACAGCCTTTGCTGGGGTGATGCCGCACAGTTGACACAGCCTTTGCTGGGGTGATGCCGCACAGTTGACACAGCCTTTGCTGGGGTGATGCCGCACAGTTGACACAGCCTTTGCTGGGGTGATGCCGCACAGTTGACACAGCCTTTGCTGGGGTGATGCCGCACAGTTGACACAGCCTTTGCTGGGGTGATGCCGCACAGTTGACACAGCCTTTGCTGGGGTGATGCCGCACAGTTGACACAGCCTTTGCTGGGGTGATGCCGCACAGTTGACACAGCCTTTGCTGGGGTGATGCCGCACAGTTGACACAGCCTTTGCTGGGGTGATGCCGCACAGTTGACACAGCCTTTGCTGGGGTGATGCCGCACAGTTGACACAGCCTTTGCTGGGGTGATGCCGCACAGTTGACACAGCCTTTGCTGGGGTGATGCCGCACAGTTGACACAGCCTTTGCTGGGGTGATGCCGCACAGTTGACACAGCCTTTGCTGGGGTGATGCCGCACAGTTGACACAGCCTTTGCTGGGGTGATGCCGCACAGGTGACACACCCTTTGCTGGGGTGGCGCCACACAGGTGACACTGCCTTTGCTGGGGTGACGCCGCACAGGTGACACTGCCTCTGCTGGGGTGACGCCGCACAGGTGACACTGCCTCTGCTGGGGTGACGCCACACAGGTGATACTGCCTCTGCTGGGGTGACGCCGCACAGGTGACACTGTCTCTGCTGGGGTGATGCCGCACAGTTGACACAGCCTTTGCTGGGGTGATGCCGCACAGGTGACACTGCCTCTGCTGGGGTGACGCCGCACAGGTGA